CACTCTGGATGACCTGGTAAAGGCTGCAGATTTTCCAGAGCATAAAGAATTCTTTGCTATTTTGCAAATACTGTCCTAACTATTTCCCACAAGTAACTCTTTTTCTAGGCCTCTAGAAATATAGATGACTATGATTAATCCCTTTTATCTGAACTTAGCAGGTTATAAAATGCTTTACAATCTGAAGTTAAGAGGTAGATTAAATATAATACGGAAAAAATTTTAAAGATTTCCAGAATTGCTGCATGATGTCTTTCAATATTTTGTTTGGTTTTCATTTTACAGTCATTTTGCAAATACGTAGTGTATAAAATGTATCATTATCACCTAACTAGCATACTTTATTAGGTATCTCATTTTGTTCTTCCATCAAAATAGAATGTATCTTATGAGGCTAGAATATAACTGCTCAATCTGTATTAGATCCAGAATGAGGTTTGTGGCTTTTTTTTTCTGAGATCATGTTTTGAAGTTCAACTATCCAGATCTCTCTATACATTTTTCTGCTGTGTTCAATAAATGAAGTCATTCTATCTATCCTAAGAAGTTACATAACAAACATTTTTGTGCCCTAGAAGAGAAAGATTAAATGTCTTTTAAAGCTAGCAAGAGTCTACTATTCTTGCATAGACATTTAATTGCACACAGTTAAAAATCTACATTAAATGCCAAAACTTACATTATTTTAGCTTTTGATGTTGTAACTTCAAACTTGTACCCCACACAAAATGTAGAGTTTAGAGACCTTTATAGAAATGTAATTTTATTTTCCATAAGGTTTCTTTCTTGCTGGTGTCTCTCAGACTGCTGAACATTGCTCAAAGATTGCAAAAAACTGATTCAAGAATAAGTCCACCTGTGGGTTTATTCCTAGTCAGCATTCTTGCTGGGTGGGCTGGTTTTGAATTTTTGTTTGCTTTCTTTTTTTGAAGAACACAGGTATAGTCCAAATTCAGAGACAGAAGTCTCCCTACTTATAAATTAGAGGATCTTCTTTCATGTTCAATAATAACCTTCAAGGCATGAGAAGTATTTAATACGAATGTTCAGTGCTACCATCTACAATGCTAAATAAAGTGAAATCTACATCTGTTTATTAGACCACTACCATTCCTTTTGTTTTAACATTTTTTTCTTGTCATATGGTTTATTTGTTGAAAAAAAAGGTCATGCTAGAATGCCTCTTGGAGACCTAGAAAAACCCTAGTATTGCTCACCTCATGATCAGTCCCAATTTAATTTTTTCTCTGTTTTTATTAGTATTCATCATAAAAATATTTTTCTTTTATAGTAGTACTTTTATTTTGCAAAGGTACTGGAATGTTTAAAGTAGACCTGTCATTCTTGAACTGAAATTTTATTAATTCACTGGTAATTTGTCCTACTATAGAACCTCTCTCTTCTTGCCTTTCTCTCTTGTGAGCAAATCTCTTTCACTATTTTCACTGTGAACATCTCAGTATGCATTATGCTTGTTAGAGACATTGTCCATGTTTAAGTTATGAAATTCAGCTGATATTTCCAGAGGTATGATCTAGAAATATTAATAATATGTGGCAGATCAGGCTGTTCTGCACTAGCACTCGATGCTTCTAGACTGAGAGAGTCTGGGATGCCACAGAAAGGGGTGAGAGAGATGTTTTATGCCACCACAGCAGTCCTGCCCATCTTTGGAGCTGCACTAACCCCATTAACCACTAATCTGTTACCATTAAAACAAGGACAGTTATCAATACAAAAGAATAGAAATGCATAAATATAAAATGCAGAGGGCAGTATGAATAGAAGTGTATAAAGAATGGACTAAGTTCAGATTCTCTATGAAATCAGCCAAATCCACAGCTAGAAGAACAAACACTGTTAAACTCTACCAAATGTAACGTTTAAAAATACTGTATTCAGGAACAGTTCAGCTGTGTGATGACTACCTTTAAACTTCACAGAACTCAATGAACACCATTTAGTTTAGATCATGCCCTTGAGTAGTGTTTCTTTTTAGTACTGAGTGTATTTATTACTGGGAGTCATCTGGCTCCCTTCAAGTGGCAGGGACCTGGGTAATTCCAAGCTGGAGTGTACAAAAGCAGCTGTGTTCTTCTCACCCCCTGGGCTGCACTGAATATTACCTGGTCACAGCAAGGATCAGGGGCTCTGTCTTTATTCTCTCAGTTCTACAAAATCACTTATTTTTGCAGTTAATGGTGACTTTGCTGTAAATATATGTTCTGGGCAGCAGAAAGCAAAGACTGTTGGTGGCAGAAACAATAAACTGTTTGTTTTATTACTGTCTCTTAAACATTGCTTTTAATCAGGTAGAGTTGCTCCAGGGCTGTTTGGCTTCTGCACATGATCCAGCTGTACAATAAGCTGTATTTGTGCAGTACTTCAGTGTTGGAGAGTTGACATTGAGATGATTGCTTTCTAGATGTTAGTGGTTTTTTCCATTAAACTTATAAAACACATTTTTTATGTAATATGGTCAAGATTATTATGGTTTAAACTATGTATGCCAGTTTAAAATGAGGTTTTCAGCATTATGACAGATTTGGATAGAAAATTCAGCCAAATAAGGCAAACCTTGTCTTTAAAAGCAGCTTGAAATCAAAAGCATGTAAGATGAAGTGTTACATGGTCATGAGTCAATTTCTAGCTGAAAGAATCATATGCTTTGAAGTCCTGTATCTGCATTTAGTGAAGTGGCCATGCTAACAGTAAGTTAGATATAGGAGCTATAGAGGGGGAGAGGGAAGGGGAGAAGTGGGCCATTTTTACAGTACCTTAAATGAAGAGCATAAATTAAAAACTTACATTCAAACTTGCACATTTTTGTACACACATCGCTGACTTTGGTACCATATGTAGTCACATTGAAGTACTGCAACAAAAGTAGGCAGGATTTTAATTTCTTTTTCTCTTCCAGTTCAGCTGTTTTCCCCAGCTAAAATCAAAATTATACCTATAGTAGGCTTTATTTTTTGTGTATACACAAACACACACACACACTCCTTTACTTCATGTATCAGACTGCTTATGCTTTACACCTGTGTTGGGCTTACAAATTGGTAAGTTAAATATTTTTATTTTAAGAAGACAAGATGCTCATCTGCTGAGAGCTATTGTGCCTAGATTGGACAACAAAATAGTCTGACAAGAGGTTTAGATTGTGGGAAAATTTAATAAGCAGAAAAGCTCTCTAAAAGTAGCCTTTCAGAAAGTTTGTGGCCTTATTAATAGAGGTAGGCAAATTCATCCTGTACTATTTCTGTGAAGAAGTCCTGCAAAACACTGCTTTCAGGACAAGTAAAGAGTCTTGAACTTTAGAAGGGTGGAAAACAATGATGTTTTTATTTTGTTCCTGAAAAGGAAACTAAATTTGATTACTGAAGATTGTAATTTATGGATGTGAAGGGTGCTGGTGCTACACTGGATTTATAATAATTTCTGTTAATTTCAATTTTACTGAATGTTTGGTGTAGTAATACATTAGCTTTATTCAACAACTAAGTAACTGTATCTGAATCTGAACTAGATTATATACTTTTTCCCCCCTCTTATGTGTATAATGATAGATTTTAAGACAGTAGAAAGACCACATAAATATATTACCAGCAAAAACTGTTATTATCTCTATACTAATAGAAAAACTCTGAACAGGTACAGCATTCTCTTCCTCAATATTATTGTTGCAAAAATCTCATGTCACTGAAATATAAAAGTTGTAACAGACATTTTTTATGTATAATTTCAGATTAGGCTTAGTAAAAGTGTCCTTTCTTTAAAAAAATTCAAAAATATGTTCAATAGTATATTCCTTTTACTGTGGCTGATATGATATATATCTGATGATACTCTCACCTTGACTCCTTCACTCTGGTGTTTTTCAAGTTTTGAGAATTTTGTCTTACTGCCTTAAAATAGGGCATGCTATAAGAATAGTTTTTACTGCCTTCTCTCCTTCAATTTTCTTAGCAGGCAACACTTGATGGTGCTTGTCTTTAATGATTCAGAGAACCAGAGCCTGAGTTAAAGAAAATGTCTAATTTTTTTAAGAGTCCTGATCTGACTTCTGTAACATTTTCTACAATTAATTTTTCATCGATTCTAAATGTTTCATCTGTTCTTCAAAACCTCTCTATTTTATTCCTAGATTATTTTATTAATTTGCCATGTAAATGTTATAAATCAATCACAATGTATTTACAAGAGTCTCCTGACCATATGCCTTTTTATCTAGATAAGCATGCACAAAAATCTAGTGGTGTGCCTAAGCTCCAGCACTCCTTTGAATCCAAAAAGCATTCTCTGGCTATGGCACTTCTCTGGGCATGGGCTCTTTTACCTTTCCAGTGCTTCCTGCTCTGGTGTAGATGGGTTGGCAAACAGAAGACCAGGATCTTAGCCTGGAGGAGGCTCAGGGGTGACCTCATCACTCTCCACCTCTCCCTGGAAGGAGGCTGTAGCCAGGTAGGGGTCAGCCTTTTCTCCCAGGCACCCAGGGACAGGATTAGAGGACATGGTCTTCTTCAGATGTTCCTGGGAAGGTTTAGGCTGGACATGAGGAGAAATCTCTTCCCAGAAAGGCTGATTAAACATTGGAATGGGCTGCCCAGGGAGGTGGTGGAGTGTCTGTTACTGGAGGTGTTTAAGGAAAGACTGAATGTGGCACTCAGCGCAATGGTCTATGAGTGCCATGGTCTAGTTGACAAGGTGGTGTTTCGGCATAGGTTGCACTCCATGATCTCAGAGGTCTTTTCCAGCCTCGTCGATTCTGTGATTTCCGCGCGCATTTGTGTCTCCGGGCGCTCCGCCGTTCCGCGGCAGCCGCTGCTGTTTGCTGCGGCCGGGTCGGGGCTGTGCCGCGCTGTCACTGCCGGGCCGGGCCGGGGCCGTGCCGGGCTCGGGCCGTGCCGCCGCTGCCGGGGCGGGACCGGGGGTTCGCCCCTCCCGCCCGGCGCGACCTTTCCCCCGCGGCTGCACCGCCCCTTCCGCCGGCGCGTCCGCGTGCGAGGGGCCCCTGGCGCTGTTGCTCCGAGGCGGCTCCGCGCCGAGGTGAGCCGGGACCGCGACCACCGCCGGGACCGCCCGCCTGCCTGGCCGCAGGAGCCCCGCACGGCCCCCGGCCGTCGCCGCCGCGCGGGTGCCTCTCCTCGGCTTCCTGGAGGCGGAGGCCCCGGCTGGGCCGCTGCGCCGCGCCGGGAGGGGACGGGGCGTGGAGGGTGCGCGGGGGTGTCGCGGGGAGCTCAGTGTGCCCTCCTCTGCTTGCAGATGCCCCCGAAAAAGGGAGGCGACGGGGTTAAGTCGCACCCGATTATCGGAAGGTTCGGGACGTCCCTGAAGATCGGCATCGTCGGGCTGCCGAACGTGGGGTAGGTGCTGGGGGACTGGCGGGGAGGCTGCTCGGTGTTCCCGCGGGTGCCCCTGCGCAGGGCAGGAGCTGGGGCGCTGCGTGGGTGCGGACAGGAGCTGGGGGACACGAGTCTCACTGCTCAGTGATGCGCTTCCATCTTTAGCTGGAAGTACTTGCAGCTGGAGCGACGCAAAACTGGCAGCGACAGGCAGGTGTGTACGAGTCTGGACAAGATAATAGGGAAGGGTTCAAAGAAAGGAAAAGTCTTAGTAATTGCTGAGTTTCATAAAACCCTGTGTCCTTTGTCTTTTCTATTTTCTTACTTCCACTGTTGTGTATACGTAATGCATGTTTTCATGCAAATACTTAGGCAAACGTGCACAACAAATTCCTTTTATGTTTTGGGATGATGTGCACAGGAAGGGGTTAATTATTCCATGTCATTAGCAGTGAAGAAGACTTTCGTGAAACTTCTTCAGAGAAGAAGTCTTCTCAGTGAGACAAGCCTAAGTGACACTTTGGAAGAGATGCTGGAATGTTAATAATGGATTTCATGCTTCTTATCTGTAGTTGTTGTGGCTCCTCATAGGAGTTCTATTTGGAAAGCAGGATGAATTGTTTACCTGGAGGATATACATGTGAAGCTGTTTGGTATTAATTTGTCTATCCTGTTTACTAAGAGAAGATCTCACCATTCTCAATCTTTAAATCTTCAAGAAATTAGATTGTGTGCGTGTCTTAAAGCCGGAAGCACTGCTTTCTTATGTTTTCATTATAATTTATTTTAGTTTTCAGGGTGTAGCTAAGATGTACTCCATAAAGGAAATAATTAGCTGTAGCATTGTACTGCCTGTCAATGGGGATAAATACCATTTTCAATTATGTTATGACATAACTTCCAGAGAAAATTGTTAGTAACTTTTGAGCATGTTGGCTGTATGCAGAGCAGCTCTGAAAATCACAACAACCTGAATATTTACTGTAGAAAATTTGGGAGTTAATAAATCAAGAATTGCTCTTTTGGCTTAATAGATGCCAGCTAACAAAATAAGGGTTTAAGGGAAAGTGTTCTCTTTTTTTCCCCTGGTAGAGTAGGCTTGTTGCCACTGATACTTAACAAGGATGAAAATAGTTTGATAAGGTATAACTGTATTTTCATGTGCACCAAAGATTATTGGTAACTGATTAACTGATGTGGTTTGCTTTTTGTGCCACTTTTTTTCTCTTTTCATTGTTGACTTTTATTGCTAAGATACTGCAATTGTGTCACAATGTAAATAAATCTTAAGGAGCAATATGCACCTGTGGAAAGGGTGAGTCATGGCAAAACTAGTTAAAAGAAAAGCTTCAAGCATCCTTACTGGTGTCTCACTGTACTTGAAGAAAATGAGAAATAGCCAGTAGGGCTGTGCCTTGCTTTTGACTTAACTCTTTTTTGTTAACATGTGTGTACAATATACATGCTTAGGGGAATTTTAAAAGGTAGGGAGGAGAGTTAAGCATCACTGGGTTTCAGTGGGGCATTCCAGAGGTGTGTGCTTTCTGCTAGAATCAGGGGAATGTCACTGCTGTTGAAGTAAATGGAAAGCTCACTATTCCTTTGGGTTAAAATGGGGTTTAATCCAGTACTTTTCTAAATTGAGCTACTTTAAGAATGTTTTTATGTCATTTATAGGAAATCAACGTTTTTCAATGTGTTAACAAAGAGTCAAGCGGCAGCTGAAAATTTTCCTTTCTGTACTATTGATCCGAATGAGAGTCGAGTGCCTGTGCCAGATGACAGATTTGACTTCCTATGCCAGTATCACAAACCTCCAAGGTAATTCTTAATATTTTTCTGCAGTTAGGCAGCTGAAGTAGTATTACTGAACCAAAACTTTTCATGAAAGTTTAATGCAACTATAATGTCTGGAAGTTTGTTACTGACATCGTTATAGAATGTGAAATTATATGTCTACCTGCATTTTACCTTTCTCATGCCCCTGATATGACCTTTATTTTATAAGAATGGTAAATGTAGGAGCTCTCAATCATTGCTCAGCACCATTTGGTGCTAGTTGTTCCTGTCTTTGAAGGTGGTTGCTCCCAGGTGCCATGGAGGATCTTCTGAAGAGATTTGGAAAATAAACAGTAGTGGACATACCTAACTTGTCATAAGGTTGCTCATTTGAAAGATTTCCACCCTATACTTTGAAACATCCAGAGTATTGTATGTGCTCTATGAAGCTAAACAAATATCTGTCATTATCCCTGCATCCTCAGTTATTTGGCAATAAGTTTTGTGGGCAGTCGTTTTTTGTCCCCGATTTTCTCTCCTTTCTCTCCTTTCAGTAGGCTCTGCTACTTGTACCTTTGTCCCGATTCTTTCATTATTCCAGGAGTGTGTTAATTTTGTCACATCATTTTTTTTTGCTATTGACTGTAATCTGCTGTGTATGTTCAGTGTTCAATGTGGGAACTTCTTTTTTTTTTTGCTTGAACTGCAAAATTTAAGGTGCTTTCAGAAAACAGAAACTTAAATAGGGACTTGTGACTCATTAATTTTAGTTTGCAGTTACTTGCAGAGGTATCTTGAATCAAGTGAGTGTACATAAATCATAGGGCAAACTAGCATGCACACATGCGCTTTTTTCCAACTCTTGGGCCTCAGTTTTAGAACCAGATCTCACCCACAGGTAAAAAAGATTGATTAGTTGCTAACCAAAAATCCATTTTCTGACTTAATTTTCAGGTCTAAGCAAGCTGTTTCCATTTGTAACTATTGTGCAGTTTTTAAATACTGCATTAATATGAAGCTGTTTGTTTAGGTGGATTGTTATAACATGTTATCTTGTTTTTCCTGCTCAAGTCAGTATTAAGCATGATGGTTACTGCATGGATCTTAAAACTGCTGAATTAGAGACAGCTTTCAGGCTGTTGACTGTGCAGAGGTAATGACATAGCTTTTAAGTTTTGTTGACAGTTTTCTTCTAACTTGTACTATTAGTGCTGCTTTGGCCGTGTCAATAATCCGTTTTTATTCTCTCTTAGCTATGAAGGGCTACTCCCATATTAATAGCTGAAGTGACAAGGAGATTATTACCTCTTCCCTCACCCTGCCTTTGGCCATCTATCTTCTCAAGGAGCTAAGATTGTAAATACTTGTATGTATGTTCTCTGACTCACAAATTCTCCTTCCCTCCCTCCTAACTCACCGCTCTAAAGTATTAATGAAAATAGTATATTTTCTGTCTTTACTCTGTAAATATACTGAGTTTGATAACAAGCTGGATAATCAGCTTTTATTTGAATGGTCTTTTGACTTTCTACAGACATTTGTTACTTAATGGATGTGGGCATTAGTGGATAGTTATATCTCCTGAGTTCACTTCTGCTGCTTATATGATTTTTGTATTTCACTGTAACAGTAATAAAGCAGAGATAATTAGTGGTAGTCCAGTAGAACACTAGACTGAGGTAACTTACTGGGCTGTTTGTGCTTGTCTGCCTCAGACTAACTCAGTAAAACAAGGCTGTAGTCACAAAGATAGGCTACTGAATTGTAATTTAAATGTCTTAATTTATCTGTATAGTCTTGATTTTGTTCTTCATCTTTATGTAATACGTTCTGTGGTAATTTTCTACTTGTTTGGATTAGTAGATGTAATCCATCTGTGCACACAGAATGTTTATAAACAGTGAATTCTCTTTAAATTGGACTCTTGTCTAGCCTCAAGATTTTGTCTTTCAAAATCTAAAGCATTCGAGTTTTTATTTCCCATATGTTACACTTAGTCTTCACAGAACTGCAGTCATTGTTGGGAGATGGGGAAAAGAAAAAACGGGTGACTTTGTCTTAACTGAAATAATGTGTGACAGGACAGAGTGATCTTGCCTTGGTGCCTGCAGGGAGCCAGGAGAGGGGAGAGGGGCAGGGCTGGGCTGGCAGTTGCTGTCTGTGCCACTGAGCTGGGACTGCTCTGCTGCAGCCAGACTGACTCTATTGCCAGGGGCATTGCTGGTGGGAGTTAGTTCTGCTGATCTGCCATTGGAGAAACAGTTGGGATCTTCGGGTACTGTTTGTTGCTTGGAGATCCATTCCTCTCTCCAAAAGAGAAGAGAGGAATGGATCAGCTTCATTGGGACTGCTGTGCTGTCACTTGTTAGCCCATGCTAACAGCTGAAAGCTGACTGGTATTAATTGGAAGTGTAAATGTTTGTAAATGAAATCACATAGGCCAAATTCAGAGATGATTATCTACAGATAAATCTGTATTTAATAGATTAAGGTACACTGGCAGAACTTGTAACCTGTGCTTTTTTTCTTTCTGCAGCAGTGGGATGTATGTGACTGTTGACAATAAATAAGTTGAATGATATAGACTGTACACAGAAGGTGGGCTCTAAGAACTTACAGTAAAAGCTGCTATGTTGCTGCCAAATGATATAGATGATTTCTTTGAGCTTTAATGTTACTACTGTGTGCTTTTTCGGTGTGAATGAAACTGTGGGTGCTAAAAAAAAAGAAACCTTAATATATTAAACACAACTCTGAATGCTTGCGATTTTAAAGTATTTGTTTATATTATGCTACTAACTTAATGTATGTATTTAAGCTACTTATTTGTTTGTTATAAATTTCATACAATATTCAGTGAAAACTCATTTGTTACATTGTCCCCATGTGTAGCTTTCTCAGAAAGGAGATGGTTGATTTTTAATTTTGTTGTCCTCCTTCCTCTGTTACTGCGGTGCAGATACCTTCAAGCAAGGTTTTACAGACTAATGATTGGATTAGTTCCAGTTTTGTAACTGGAAAGAGAGTATTTTCTGTAGACTGATTCAGTTCAGCTGGAACTAAAGCAGAAAGGTGTATTTCCCCCCCACCTATCTATGAATACTAAGTAGGTAGCAGAGGATGAGGTCTGCTAATTCTGTAATGGAAAAGAGATGTTTTTCATCTCAACAAGTAGCTCCTGACATGAAAATTATGACATGGAAGCCAGAAAGAGTTGCTCTGTTAACTGCAATTAATATTTTATGGGACACTGTGTGTTTAGGAGTGATGGGTATCTCACACAAAAGAAGAACTGTGCACATAGTGCATCTGAAGAAATTTTAGTAACTTAATAAAAGCTTTAATGAAGCTATTTTCTTGTGTATTTTTTGTTCTAAATTTAATTGAAGTGCTGCTTAATCACCTTAAACGTAGAACTACTTTTTTTTAATGTAAGCATGTCAAACTCATGTAATTTGAGCAGTGATTTGTGTCCTAGCTCACAAATAGCTTGAAAGCCTCTGGGTGTATGTACCCACCACTCTTAGGCCATAGGTCCCCCTGCCTGTTGCCACAGTTGTGGTGTGCTGTGCCTGACAAGGAGATGTGCCTCAAGTGACACTGGAGTCCAGCCTCAAAATGATTTCCACCAAGGTGGTAGAGGAAACTGCAGTTTCCTCCTTATTTCATTTGTTTTGTTCCCCAGTAATCTCCTCACTGCGATTATTTGCATTTTTTCTACTTTAAGTTACATGACTAAGTAAAAGAAGTACTCAGGAAGAATCACTGTGAGCCTAAGGTAATTAACTGCAGCCTAACTGTAAGTAATTACACCCAACTACTGCTTTTTCTGATAGGAATCAGCCTGTCTGAAAATCTTAATGAAAAGGTCATTTTGAAGTCTTATGTTTCTGCTTCCTCTCTTGCTTTAAATCAAATGAGATTATAAGCAGGAGTGAGTCGAGAGAAAGGATGAATCAAACTGCTTAAAAAGTTGTCAGTATTTGTCTCATTCCTGGTTTGCACCTGTGAGTTGCCTTGCACACGTGTTCACAAACACAAAGTTTATTGCAACCACAAATGTTTCTCTTCCACCTAGACTATTTCTAATCTGTCTTGGATGTCCTTTTCAAACTTAAATTTTAAAGTTCATTTTGGTTATCTCAAAGGAGGATAATATCTAAGTTTTAACTAGGTATTCAGACCCCTCTTAAATTCCACCACTGTCCATTATACTTCAGGATCTCTTTTTGTCAGCAGATTGATTTGATTTGTTCTGTTGCATTGCAGATTGATAAAATGCATTCATTTAGCTCTTTACTGCCCAAGTGATGGTTACTGAAGTAAATCTGAGTAAATCCCATCGCTGTCTAGATCAAAAAAGTCTTCTGCAATATTAAATGAAAGTTCCCTTGGACTCATTGTAGGATAGCATACTCAGATACATGATAAAGTTTTAAAGTCAAAATTATGTAAACAGTTGCTGGAAAGCATTTTGTAGAAACCAGATCAGCAGTGGGACTTTGAGGGACATCATGTGGGACTTGGGCTATGTTTAAGAAGAGCATTTATGTAAACAGAAACCACCTGTAGTTTCCAAGTGAGAGATCAATAACTTAGCAGGGTGAGACTCTTAACATATCAGCATCTGTAAAAGAATTCCATTTTTTAATGAAAATTGTTGGCAATTGGTAACTATATCCTGTTGTTAATGTTCTTTTTCCTTAGGTGTTACTGACTTTGCCTGCTCTTCAGTTTGTTCTGTATAAATCAGCTGGGCTGTGATGTGTGTTCTGGCATTGCTTGTTTGTCAGCACTGAATGAAAAGTCTTAAATAATGGTGACTTGAGCCGTCTTTTCTGCCTGATGAGAGAAGGCAAAATGAAATTAGTTGTATTTTGTTGGTATAATAACTTACTGAATAGTTTGAGAATGCAGGTGTTGGGCATGTACAGGACACGAAGCATGTGTTGTAATCCACATTGAGTCTCTCTTACCTTCTTATAATTCATATAAGCACAATTTAATTAGCAGATTTTTCACTTCTGGTTCATGTGCCATTAGGTTCAAGTCTTGTTTGTCAGTACTATGGGTAAAATGCTATTAATGAAATCATTCTTGCATGGAAATGACCGGGGTCCATCTGCAGTACCTTGTTCTTTGGAAACAGATTCCTATAACTGCCCAGTGAGGGATTTTGCTTACATTGGTCAAAACTGCTTGCAAGATTGATTGTGGGAGCTGTAACAGTCTCTTGGAAGAGGGAGTTCCAAACTGTTCTGTTTGGAAATGAGCCAAAAATAGCAGTGAGGACAGACTGAGAGCTGAATGGCTCTCAAAGAGATTGCCACCATATACATGTTCTCTCTCTGTCTTGCTGCTTTTACTTCAGGTCATTTGTGAATGCTAACAGATGACTCTTACTTAAGTTGTATGAATTTTCAGGAAGAAAGAATTTCTCTTTTCTGCAAAATATGTAACCCTATGGATGCATAAGCCTTTTATTCCTGAAAATGCCCTAACCACCAGGCTGCAAAACTGTACTTTATTTGGCCCAGTGGGTCTTGTGCTCTTTACTGTGTGGTTGCTCATACAGTGAAGCTGGTACACGAACACAAACTCAATGCTGATGTTTTTCAAAGTGAGGTAAAAAATTCCTGCTCAAGAATTAAACCTGTGGTTAAAATATAGAGACACTTCTGGATTTGGTGTTCTGTTTCATATTATAAATCCTTGTGATATGCTTTATGGTAGATTGGTGTAGCACTGATTTATACAAATGATCAGTTGATGCCACCTGTTCCTGATGATCATTTGAGGCTCAGTGACATTATGCTAATGCTGACTAACGAATCTTAAGAAATTGAAATTAATATGTTTAGAGGAGGAGGAAAAACCAGCAAAATGCAGTTAAGTCTTCAATAAACCATATTCAATATATATGGTACTTTCCCCTCATTTTGTGCAGTGTTCTTTGTTTTAGTTTCATAATATTGACTCTTTGTCCTTCAGAGTAAAGGCAAGTGTGACCACCTTGTGCCTTTTTCTGTTTTTCTGTGTGTCCATCTTTCTACGATGAAACAGAGATTTAGACCCGGAAGGTGTCTAACAGCGGGAATAGTTTTAATTTGCCTGGAATGTGAGCTTTGTGGTACCCAAAGTGAAGGTGAGAAAGCGCCCTGGAAACCCACACACTTCAAAGGTCTCTTGCTTGTGTTACTCAGCTGTGAAAGAAATGTGCTGGAGTTTTCTTTCTATTGTGTAACAAATGAGGTTGATTCTGGTGATAGAGTGGCCATCTGCATATGAAGGTATCTGTCTTGCCCTAATGTGGCATCTTTGTAGTGAAAGTGTGAATTGTTCTGATGGCTGGCCGGGAGGTTAATCCTACCAGAAAGGTGAGAGGGGAGTATAGAACATTTCTTACACCACCTTTGTTTTCCTTAAAACACAGTTTAAAATGACAATGGAGAAGTGCTTTAAAGAGTGGCTTTTTCTGTCTTGCTGCTGAGTAGTTAAGTCTCAAAAAGCAAGGACTGGGAAGTTGCCCGCAGTTTCTTCTGAAGTATGTTAGTTCTTGTATCAGGCAAAAGGAGTTACTGGGTTAATGCATTCATATTTACTGGCTTCTGTCTTCAGAATGTGAGTTATTCTTCCTAGTGTCTTAAATCAGGATTTCTTCTGAGTTTGTGTACTGGTAGTTAAAAAAATGTAGTGAGACAAACATGTGAAATTTGTAAAATTGGTTTACTTCATAGTGTACTTATATTCATGTACTTTTGACTGCATTCCACAGCATTAACTTGCAGCACACATTATCTGTCTTCCCAAGGATGGGCCCTTCTTTTCATGGGCCTAGTGAAGTTTAAAGTCACTATTGTGTTACCTGAATGTAAGTAACATACTGTATTGTGTTACATAATTGTTTCTTTTTAAGTACATCACAAAGGTATTAATTACATGGAGCATGTCACTAAGTTCCTAAGGTATTATACCTGACAGGTTTAGTGACACTTTGAGCTTCACCTTAGTAAACAAAAAGATTTTGTCCAGATCTTGTATTGTGAAATTATTTTACTTGAAATAAATAATTTTTCTTTGGAAGTGTTAGAGCAAGGCTGAAAACAAAACCTTTAGGTCACCCTTCCTCCAGAAATAATTGATGGTCCATACTCAAACAGATTCTAGTGTATCATATCTCCCCAAAGAGAGTTAATTTGAAGTAAGGAAGCACATCTGCTGAGTTTTTTGCAGTCAAATGAAAGTGAGGTAGCACCAAAGGAAAAAAAGTTGGAATTGTGTTTTGTTCTACCTAAGTCAGTTGCTCAGAGCAGAGACAATGATCCATGTATCTACATTTTTTTCTGTCTCGACTATAGCTGCCATACCAGGCACTGTGATGATACAGGTGGTTTTCCTGCTGGTGGAGTTTCCTGCTGTTACAGATTTGACAGCAGTCATGTTGTCAAATATTCAGTATTTGAAAACACATATTTATCAGCAAGTTGTCACACGAATAAAAATAAAGCTTCGTTTGGGCTGTGGACAATAAAGATTTCAGAAATGTAATACTGCCTAGAAGATTACTGGCTAGGTTATCCCTAGCCCTCATTCCCACCTTTGTGGTAGTTTCTGTCTCTGGGCAGCACTGCCAAGGTAGGTCTTCAGAAAAGGCATCTTAAGGTGGACCACAGAATTTATATCTTTGGATTTGAATCTCCTGTTGAGATCACTCACCACAGAACAGGGGGAGTGCTTTCCAGATCAGCTTTTTTCACCCATGCTGCCTTGGGTGGTCACACCCCTCTCCTTGGGGCTGTGTGGAAGCTGTGGGTTTGGGAGTTTGCTGCTGTACTTAGTGCCAGTAAAATGGTGAGCTGCTGTATTAGTCCTAGCATAGTGCTCATGAAATATGATGGTGATTAAGTGTTTGATGGGAATGAACTACTCTTCCACCTATTTATTTTGGAGCCATCATGTTGGAGGTTTTGAGACTGGTGTGTGCAGTTTCTGGTCTTTTGCAAGTGAGGGATTTGCAGCATATCACTGTGTCTGTCTCTGCCACTGTTCATGATGATGGTGTTAGTTGCATAGAGCATATGAAGGTTCTTTTAGTCAACACCTAATCACAAAGTTTTAGTGGTTTCTTGGGGTTTTTTCCTGATTCAGCTTGATTTTGAGAAGTAATTTGGTTTAGTGTACATGAAAAGCCTATTATGTTATTTGTTCATTTTTTAACAAGTTGAGAATTTGTGGAGGATAGAAGGTTTGCAGTTTGTAAGTTTCCCATTACTTTAAAAGCTTCTTTCTGTTTTTTGTCAGCTAATTTGATCTTAATGACTATTCTGTTGTTGCTGTATCATGTGAACATGTCTTCTTAACCCTTTGCTGTTCACTATGGTGGAAAACATCACAGCTGTTTATATTATAATACCATCTTAACTTATCTTCATCTGTTTTTTTTCCAAATTGTTTGCATTACCCTGGTCACTGCTAATTATAATCAGCACTGTATTAAAAAAAAAAAAGTGCTCTTCTGAGAAAGTTGCATAACCTGCTGAACTAAATGGTAACCTTGGAGGTGTGCAATAGCAGAGTGCAATGGCCTTTTGTGTCTTATCCTTTTGGTCCTGTGAAAACTATGCATTACCCATGATGTATTTATGCCTCAGCCTTCCAGGCCTGCTTGATTATTGTGTAGTTGTCTGTATGATTCCACACTTCAGAACTAGTTTACTTCATTTTACATAAATATTTACAGAGAACTTAGAGAATGGATGTTTTACATGGGATGGGGGGAATTTTGTCTTGTGCATTCCACACTGTGATGTTTAACTTGTTTCAGCAAAGAAGTGTTGGATTTTCATGTTCTGTATTTATTTCTGTGCCAAAAACGTTGGCTAATATGCTTTAGTAATGAAACTTCTAACTTCTATATTTCAGCAAAATTCCGGCATTTCTGAATGTGGTGGATATTGCTGGCCTTGTGAAGGGAGCCCACACTGGACAAGGCTTAGGAAATTCCTTCTTGTCTCACATTAACGCCTGTGATGGGATCTTTCATCTGATGCGTACGTAAACTTACTTACCTGTTTTCTCTAGCTTAAGGACAGCATTGTTGTACTGTAATTAATAACTGTGGAGCAAATATCCATTACAATTCAACTTCTGCCATTCAATTCAAAGCCATCAGGTTTTTCCAGCCAAGACAATCCTCATCCTCTGCTATGTAACAGGTACGCCTTTCTTCATTAGCCTTGTACTGAAGACTTAAAAAGAAACTGGGTTCTTGGAAATCTGCAGTAATGATGTTTCATTTTCTTTTACTGGCAGTGCATGGCAGCTTGTCTAATTTCATGAAGAAGGAAAAATGGAATGTGTTAATAAAAGACAGAAATGGAAGTAGAAATCTGCTGCTTTTGTAAATCCTTAAACTTTGCAGATCCTGAGAGGATGAAGTTTCTTTGTTGCCTTTTACCAGGGTTTGGTCCAAGTTCCTGATGAACTGTGTATCTTTGGGAGCCAGTGCCCTGAAACCAGCTGTCAGTTTTCAGCCTGATGGGTGGACACTGAACACTGAATCTCTGCAGTGACAGTAGAAAGTGACTTAAGAAGAACCCTGGTAGGCTGCTCCTGTTCAAGGGTAGTAGGCAGGGGACTGGAGGGTGAGACTTGTATGCCAGCAAGCTGGAAAGGAGGTGGTGTTGAAGGTGAAGAGAAAATAAGAATTATAAAATGTTGGTAGGAAGAGCTGTAATAGGAAGTGATCTGGGGATTGTGTATTTTCAAGGCATGAAAAATTTAGTGTTTGTTTTCATTTTGATTTGATCTGGAACACATTTTCACCTTTGAGCACTGAAAGTGTTGCTCCCTGTCTTTGTGCTGTTGTGATACACACTGCTACTGCCTGTGGTAATGGCCAGCATGGGAAGCAGAGTCCCTCAGAGAATTGGTCTTTTTCTTTTGATGGATGCCAGGCAGGAAGTCAGATGCAGGTCATTGTGGATTTGTGCTGTAGACTTTAAGCTCTGCATGCCTGAGTATACTGAAGAAAGGCTTGTTAGGCTCTGACTTAGCTTGGTTCAGTTGCTAATTTTGCAGAAAGCGTTTGAGAATTAACCAAGTTGTATTAATTAAGGTAACAATAGGTAAGAAAGTGGCTTGATAGGAATGGAGTTGAGTATGGTGACACAAACTTTGGGTAGCTCAGTAAAGGTATTTTATAGTTCTAGGCTGAAGAGTTTGATCCTGTTTTCTTTATTTATTGAGGATGTGTTAAACTGCGTTTTCTTTAGAACAGAAGGTCTATTTGTTGTTTTTTTAGCTGCCATAACAATACACTGTTGTTACCTCTTTGTATTTTGAGATATTTTTTGCCTGTGAGTCGATCCACCACAAAGTACACAGGTGAGCTCTTACATGGCATAAATATGAGGAGAAATTCTGTTTCCATCTAGCTAATTCTCTACTTTCTTTACTTCATTTAAAAAGAGACAATACCCCCATCTTGAAGTGGCTGTGAATTTTCAGCCCTCAAATTTCCATGTCCTTGTTAGACTGTTAGTTTTCTTGAGATATATGGTTTTCATTAAATCAATAAAAACATTGTTTAGGTGTCTAAGATATATTTAATATTTGCAAAGAAACAGGCAACACAAGGCAACCACACATGGTAGGGTAACAGGACAAGTGAAAGGAGAGGTAAATTTGTGTTGAACACCATTGTACTTTTATACATGATTAGTGACAGTACAAAGTAGATTCTCTTAGCTCAACAAACAAGAGAATTAAGTTTTCCCCTGCAGAATAGAACAATCCATTCTCGGGTTTTGATATTTTCTGTAGATTTTTTTTTTCTGTAAAAGTGCACAAACTGAAAATGATTTACTGATACTTATACTAAACCAGTTGGTCTCCATACACTTAAAAAGAAAAATTTCAGATGTTATCCCAGTTTTTTAGGGGAAGGAGTATAATTTACTTTTGGTCACACCCAGTTCTGAAAACCTCAGATACACTTACTTACTGGCTGAGTGAATGGGGAATTTAATTTTGAAATGGTTGTCTGTCCTGGATAGTGGTGTTTGCAGTCCCACAGTACTCTGACATGGGCTTTAAGGTACAGCTTTGTACATCTTCCAAGTTTCATGGTTTAATTTGGAACATTTCTGACAGCTGTTCTCCTGTTTCAGGTGTACTGCAGTTTTGACTGAGGCAGCAGTGTTTTGTGTGGTGACAGAAGGCAGGCTGTTTGAAGGTTATCATAGCCCTTCTTCCCCAGTTTAATGGCTTTAACCATCTTTCAACTTTTATGGCAGATCGGTCACAAGTACTTGTAGAGAATTTCTTTCTTTGTACGGTGAACTATAAATGGCAATTTCGTTACAAGTGTAAATTTACAAATTATACTTAAACAATCCTCAGTGAGGAAAATGGTAGATATCAGTATTTAGTCAATGCTATATCTCTGTCAAGTTTTTGAACATACTGGGTGTTAAATAGCCACAGCTCTTCATGTTTTTGAATTTCTCTTCCCACTGATATTCTGCAGTCCTAGTTTTCTAGAAAATATGTTCCACATTTTTCTGTTATTTTTAGTTTCTTTAATGAAATCCAGTCTTTCTCTTCAAAGGTACAGAAATTGGGAGGAAGCTTGTCTGTAAAAGTACTTGGCTATCAAATGCTCCTTTTCAATTAATAAAAAGACATTATAGTTGGATGCCTAGTGTTTCAAGTAGGGCAGGCAACACTGGGTTTTGTGGAAGAACCTGAGAGCTCGAGAGCTCACCTGTGGCATCCCCGGTGTGCCAGTCCTGCAGAGGATCCTGTGAGCTCCCTGCTGCTCACAGTGACTCAGTGCTGGGGCAGTGCTGGCACGTTGGGCTGGGAAGCTCCTGCTTAGCTCCTCTGGAAGTGCTCTGACTTTACAGCAGAGGAGCTCCAGCTGCCCTTTAGCATCAGGATGGGGAGATTGGTAACTGATAATCCGTGAAATTTTGTTCTTTGTGGTAGGAGTGAAAGAGCTGTGAAGCTGGGTAAACATCCCCTGCGGTCTTACGGAAGTGACTGGTGTGACCAATGCCCGTGGGTTCCTAGAAAGCTTTAATTGCTTTTACTACAGTTGTATGTTTGTTAAAACTGGAAATGTTTAGTCCACCCCCTGGTTCTGCCTCCTTCAGGGTTTTAGATAACTTGTAAAGCTATTTGTCATTACTTAAAGCTTTGATAGCTATGAATCATGTCAGTTGAGCGTAGTTTATTCTTACTTGAAAAAAGCTCTAATCAAAACTGGGTTTGACAATATTTTTGCTGATTTTTGCTCAGCATTTAAAATCAAGTTGACTTAACTGTATTTTTTTACCATCATGAAGGTTAATGGTAACCTTTAGTAATACTGTTAGTGTTTTAATTTGCCCACAAAAATCAAAGTGTTGATAAAGTAATTTAACTGAATAAGATACATCCTCTTTTTTTGCTGATTTTTTTGACTTCCATAAAAATGTGTGTATTTTCTATATGAAGATGCTAATCTTATATGCTAATTTTATATGCTTGAGGCATGATGAGAACATGATTTCCCCCATGTTCTCTAACAAGAAGCCATACTTGCTGATTGCTGCTCCTGGAATCCAACTGCTACTGAGAGGAGGCTTGTGAGGATATTATTTGGCCACACTCCACTGCACTAACATTTCAGTGAACAAAGTATGACTTACATCTCATCCTTTCAGCATGTGTGTTCTGTGCTTTGGGAATCACATTTATGTGGCTCAGTTTATGCAGCTGTAGCTTGACTCTGTCACTTCTGATATCTGAAGCTGTTTTTTCGTCTTTATAATGTGAATGAGGTGTCAAAATTCACCTTGAAATGATGTTAACATATCTGTCTTAAAAAAAGTGGTATTGTCTTTGACATATTTTGGTTCAAATTTTTGAAGATGCTTTGGTTTTGTTTTATATTACTAAGTGCAATTGACACCTGTTAAAAAAACTTGTTTACAAATACAAATCGTTCACTGCTAAGCTACCAAAGTTTAAAAATAGTGTGCACATATCAAATTTGTTAGTGTTACACTATCCAGATGTATTGATGTATGCTACTGAGTAGATGATAGTACCTATTGAAATTTTCTCTGCTTATTTATTTTTAGAGCAACTGAATTAAGGTTCAATAAAATATTTGCAAAAGGTCATAGTTCAGCTAAACTTTCAGTTGGCTTTCAGTAACTTCTCCATATTAAACCCAGAAATTGGGAAAGCTTTCAAATTAAACTGGCAGTTGTGTCTGTGTATTAATCTAGTGCTTGTGGGTTTTTTTCTTTGTAGTTTTTTTGTTTGGGATTTTTTCGGTTAAATACTGTACAGTGTTTTGATTTTGAAAAAAGATTTCACATAGGAAATTTTTCTAATCACAGAGTTATGAAAATGGCATTCCTCTACTCCTTTTAGCAAAATCATCCCTAAAATTGAAATAATTTATATTTGCAAGACTGGTTTTGCATTGTGTGTTGCAATTTCAAAATTTCAGTACAAGAACGTGGAAGAAGACCTGGGATGAAGGCTGATGCTTAAAAGCAGTTGTTTGTAGAAGGATATGAAGAGCAGAAAAGAGCCTTGTGTGTGCTTTCAATACTAGTACATTATTGTCCAAAAGATTGATAGTGGAATTAAAGGACCAGGATGGGATTCTTGTCAGTCTTCTCTCATGCAGTTTCAATTACTACTACTTTGAAACCTACACCTGCAAGAGAGAGGGAGACATTTTGTACACCAGCATCCTGTTTGATTGATCAGTGCCAGTGCAGGATCAACTAGCTTAATTTGGCCAGCTGTGGAAAACTTTTAACTAATCAGATTTTTCACTTAGGCAAAAAGATAATTAGGAAGGGCAGTAACCTCTTATGCTGAAAAATTGCAGAAGAATGTTGCAAGATCTGTCATCGTCCTTGAACATAATGTTAGTGTGTTTGAGATGCAGGAAATCACATTATAAAATCACCCTAATCTCCTGTTACATTGCTGGTGTTCTTTTCTTTTGGTGTGTGTATATGAACAAAATTTGTTGGTTTGC